CTGCTGGCTGCCCAGGGGTCTGCCAGGAAACTACCCAGGGGTCTGCCAGGAGACTGCCCAAGGGTCTGCCAGGAGACTGCCCAGGGGTCTGCCAGGAGACTGCCCAGGAGTCTGCCAGGAAACTACCCAGGGGTCTGCCAGGAAACTACCCAGGGTTCTGCCAGGTGACTACCCCACCATCTGAGTCCTGGGACAGGCTTGCTAGTCTCTGTCCCAAACATCTGCCAATGTCCCATGGTTCCGGTCCCAGCTTCTCCCTTCAGCTGAAGAGCAACTTTGCCTAAGGACCGGAACCCACTCCAGTCTCTTCATTGTGACTTCTTGGTTCATTATCCTGGGAGTCTTAGAAGGTTTCTGTAAATTGGCCTCGGCCCTTCTCAACTTGCCGAAAGAGGGCATACATACACAGGAACCGCTTGAACATACGCCTGTTATTGGAGGGACCTCATTTTAGTGACAGCCCCATAGACCAAGGTCCTGGAGACAGTTCCATCCATTCTATGGCCAAACAGAACTCGGAGTAACCAGAGCCCTTTGTAACAGGTCTGCAAACAGCCGTCTCCACTATAGACACCACAGCAGCCATGTGACCAGACCCAACCAGACGCACAGCCCTGCACCCAGAAGCGATTCCGTTTCCACAGACTTAAGCTGAGACAAACTGGCAGTTGTGGGAGAGCTGAAGGGAGAAGCTGGCTCCTTCACACTCAAAGTCTAACAAGCAATAACAGATAGCAAGAAACCACCATCAACTGATGGGATTAAGAAAGCAGCATATAAATTAGATGCTAAATATTATAATATAAACTATTGAAAAGAACCAGACAGAAGCCCTGAAGCCTTTGAATGCCCCCACAGGAAAACTCAGGAGCATATATGATTATGTAGGAGAGAGGTCAGTAAACCCTAAGGTAGGGCCACTAGAATTGTTCAGTTCGAGAGACAAAAAGGAAGAAGACTGAGAAGCAGGGGCAAAGCATGGGTCCGGGTGACACTCTCATACAGGAGTGGGCAGCTTACAGCAGCACCAGGAAGAGAACCGAGAACTGAAGCCTGCTGGGAATTCATCAGCCCTGGGGCGGGGCACTCTGTGCTGCATTTCCTCCTTGTCGTGGCAGAACACATCATGGAACCTTTGCAAGGGAGGGAGGATTTACCGTGGCTTGCAATACCCCTCACGGTAGAGAAGGCATGGCATAGAAAGGCATGGAGGGGCCCAGCCTGGGCTCTCACATCACAGCACATCGGAAGGCAGAGAGAAGGAATGCTAAATTCTGCATACTGTATGAAGACAAACATTTGCTCAGATTCACAGTGCTCTTGTCCTGAATAGCTAGCGTGGCACTTTCTCAATCCTTATACATGAATTTAGGAACTGAGGGATTAAGATAGCCCAAGCCATCCTTTTGGTTTTTTTTACACAGCAGGGGAACATTTTCCCAACTGGCTCCAGGTTTCAGGGCTTGAATAGAGGCAGTAACAGTTAGCAAGCATTGCTGGTAGAGGCGGGAACTACACTTTGATCAAACTGAAAATCTTGAGTTCAGGAGATACCATCTATAAGCCATGACCACACTGACATTAGAAATTTGGTGTGAGAAGTCCTTCTGTGTATGTGTTGCTTTTATTGGTTAATAAAGAAGCTGCTTTTGGCCAATGGCTTAACAGAATATAGCCAGGCTGGAAGAGATATCTATAGTGAAAGAAGGTGAAGTCAGTGAGAAGCCCTGTATCTGCCGCCAGAGACAGACGCGCCAGAACATTGCCAGAAAACCACAAGCCTTGTGGTAAAAAATAAAATAATGGAAATGGGTTAATACAAGATGTAAGAGTCATCTAGAAATATGCATAAGCTCATACGCCAGGCAGTGATTTAATTAATACGGTTTTGTGTGATTATTTCGGGTCTAGGCAGCCAGGCATTAACAAGCAGTCTCTCCCAACAGAAACTATTCTATATTCCTGGGCCCCGAGTAGATGGGATCAAGGCAGGGTGGTAATATTGGCAGTGCCCATGGGAGGGGTTGCAGGCATTGTTCTGAGGGATATATTTGGATCCAGGTACCATGGGGTTGGTTGAGAAGTCTTCAGTACCTCTTACATTATTTTCTCTCCAGAATGTTCTCCAACTCTTTCTGCAAGTGTTTTCTCCTCATCCTGCCAGGAACTGGGGGAGTAGAGGCAAGGTCCCAACTGGGTCACAGAACACAAGCTGGCACTCCACTCAGAGCAGGCAGACGGGATACTGGTGCACCCTCCAGAGGCAGAGGCCCTTGTCGCCTTGAGATCAGACACTTTGCCATGGTTGAACACATCCAGTGTGCTGCCAGTGCGGACAGCTGCACTCAGGATGGTGGCACCCACACCCATCTCCCTCTGGCTCCGGGCTCTCTGAGTCAATAGCTAAGACCCTGGTCCCAGGCCCCACCTACTTCTCCACCAGGGTGCCGAGCTAGTGTCCTGGATGTTTGCTGTCAACCTGACACACGCTGGAGTCATCTAGAAGGAGGGAACTTCAACTGAGAATATACCTCCGTAAGATCTGGCTGTAGGGCATTTTCTTGATTACTGATTGGTGGAGCAGGGCCCGGCCCATTGTGGGTGGAGCTACTCCTGGGCAGGTGGACCTGGGTTCTCTAAGAAAGCAGGTTGAGCAAGCTATGGAGAGCAAGCCAGTAAACAGCGCCACCATGGCCTCTGCTTCTGCCTCCAGGTTCTGGTCCCGTTTGAGTTCCTGTTCTGACTTCCTTTGATGATGAATTGCCGTGTGGAAGTGTTAGTCAAATAAACCCTTTCCTCCCAACTTCTTATTTATTTTTGTCATGGTGTTTCACCACAGCAGTAGAATCCTAACTAAGACAAGTTGGTATTAGGAGTGGGGTATCGCTGTGGCAGACCTGACCATGTTTGGGGGAGAGTGTGGAAAGACTTTGTAACTTTGGGTAAAAAAAGCCTTTCAGAATTGAGAGAGTGCTGGGCTGCTCTGCAGGAACCTGGAAGACAAGAATGGAGAGCAATGCACACAGCGGATGCCTGGCTTGCAAAGTTTAATTTTTTTCTTTTGGTTTTCTAAGACAGGCTTTCCCAGTAGCTATGGTCCCAGTCCTGGAACTTGCTCTGTAGACCAGGCTGCCCTCGAACTCACAGAGATCCACCTGCCTCTGCCTTCCAGGTGCTAGGATTAAAGGTGTGTATCAATCACCACTGCTCAGCCTAACTTGCAAAGTTTAAGAGGGAAGTTTAAAGACTATCAGGGCCATCTGTTATTTTGAATTAAGGTTCTGTGGTTCTGGTTAGCGGGGGCTGAAGAGTCAGCTATGGTTAATAAGATCCCAGAACTGCTGAAGCGAAACCTTTGATTTTCTGGGACAGTCGGTACTGGTCCATCGACAGTGATATTGATGTTCAAGTGCGATCTTGGGTATGGACAAGGAAGGAAAAGTTATCACTTATTAGTGATGCTTGTGTGTCAATTTGATAAGGGGTCAGTGGGAGGGTACATGGGGAGGAGGTGAATCATATAACCTGAAACTTCAGCCCACATGTCCAGAACTCTGCAGCCCAAGCCTCTCACTTTGCTTAGACTTGACCCAAGCTGGGTGTGAAAACCCCGACAGCCTGGCTCACAACATGGGCTCTCACTGCAGGCACGTGCGGCTACAAAGCTGGCTTTGTGACAGCAGAAGACACCGTCTGGACAGGGCTACGGAAGTCAGGCTTCTGTGAGTCATGCTTCTTGCATCCACTATCAATTTTCAGAAGAATTGAAGGGCATCGTCAGCCACTCACTGGCGGTGCCGAGGTCAACAGTATAAGACATCACGGAGCACATTTACACAGGCAATGAGGATTTAACACACACTGCGATGAGTCAGACCCTAACTGTAAAGACCCTGCCCAAGACTTAGAAGACTCTAGTGCACAGGGCAGTTAAGGGAACAGTGGCATCTTATTGTCCATGCCAAAGCCTGGCACAACAGTGGGGTGGCTGTACAAACCAGAGTGAGCCCAGAAAGGGATCTTTTCTCTACCTTGCAGATCCTCTGACACCAAGAAGGCGGGCACACCTGCCCTTTGGACTTCCTTACAGGTCAGTGGGGCAAGGTGGGAAAATGGAGGTGCTGCTGCCAGCCCTTCCTCTCCACTGCCTCCTGAAGACACCCACTGGGCACAGTCTGCTGGCGTGCATCCAGTGCTTTCTCCATCCACGCACCTCGCAGGTGTGTGGAGGACACAGAAAAACCCACACGCTCAGAGCTCCTCATCAGAAATAAGCCCCCCTGCAGTGGATCTGCAGCCTCCACCGCAGATCCGTGCAGGGGCTGGAAGGGGTGGTCAAAGGACTGGAACTGTCTACTGAGACTTGGCTGCCGCCCACAAGCTAGGGAGAAGCCTCCCTTGCCTAGGGCACAGCAGAATGCTCCCACAAAAGGAGGGGACAGCAGGCAGACTCACAGGAACGAGGAGGAGACAGGGTTCAGGTGTGTTTCTGTGTTTTGACTTGTGCTTTTATTCGTGTTCCTGTTGATTGACAGATCATAATTCAAATTAATGGGATAGAATGCCACATGAGGCTCTGTCTAGGCACTTCAAGGTGGTTAAATCATGCCTATTAATACACTAAGCACCAGTGAAGATACACCCCCCTGGATCCCACTCGTGAGGAGTCTAAAAAGGGACAGAAGTAGACAGCAGGCAGGCATTGGCTGTGTTCATGGCTGACAGTGCTCCAGCTTGTGTCCCTATCATCTTCTGCTCTAGGCCCAGCCTCTGACAGAGATGCTGCATCTGGACCAGACTCTGAAGCCATGGTTTGGGGAGCCTCGTTCCTAGACACTGCTGCTTTGGCATCCTTCCCCAGATGGTGGCTGGACGGTCTTTCTCTTTACGATTTTTGGATGCCCCTCCACTCCTGATGTGTGTACGATCTTCAGACTCGCCAGGGGAACCTCCCGGCGAGTCACTGGGACCTAGTGCCTGATACTGAGTCTGTGGATGCGCTACTTCCAGTCCAGAATGACAGTTCCCGTCTTGTCTTTGACCCTGACCCTGCCGGAGGCATACTTGGTCTCCTGGCAGCCATTGCAGTACACAGTCTTGGTGGTGCCGTCTGGGAATTCCCTCCGCTTGAACCTGGCTGTGTGGATTTCCTTCTGTCCATTGCTGAACATGATGACCTTGTCTCCATTCCTGTAGAACAGAAACACCCTGTGTTGCCGCACAGAGGCCAACAGTGTGCGCGTGGAGGAACAAGGAATGAGTGATACCATAGCGCCACCCAGGTCCCCCAGTCTCTTCTGAGGGAGGAAGATGAAGCTTCCCAAGGAACGAGTAGGGAAGGCATTCTCAGGAAGGTGGGGATGCAGGGGCTGAGTGGGGAGCACGGACCCAGAGACCTGAGCTTGCAATATGAGATGGAGTGAGTGGGTGCATTAGAACTACTCAGTCCATGGCAGAAACACAGCAGAAAGAGCCCTGGGTGTGGGCACTGTGCTGACCAGGAGAGCCAAGGACACTCCAGACGGGGGCGGGGAGAGCTGATGAGGTTGAGGTCCTAGAGGAAACACGCCAAGGTCACACCAGAGTCGGGGCATACTGGGAACAGCTAAGGTGACTTCTTGATCTCTTGCCCAGGCTAGTAGACAGATATGACTGAAGGGCCTCATTGTCTGCACACACCAGCACTGAGACAGTGACTTAGTACACAGTTGTGCAGCTGAGAGTCTGCTTATACACCCTGCAATCGAACCCCACCCCTACACAGTGTAGCTTTGAGAGGTAGAGGCTGAAGATGGCACTCAATGGTTGGCAGGCTTCAGTCACCAAAATATCGACACGTGTCACCTCATAGCAGTGGGACATCCTGAGACACGCGTCACCTCAGAGCAGTGGGACATCCTGAGACACGCGTCACCTCAGAGCAGTGGGACATCCTGAGACAGGCATCACCTCAGAGCAGTGGGACATCCTGAGACACGCGTCACCTCAGAGCAGTGGGACATCCTGAGAAATTATTGTGATGTCAACCTGGGTGACCATGACATTAGTTGATGATGTAAACTGCGGTCAATCACTGAGCACCATTTGGGGGCACGAGACTGCCCCCAAAATTCTATGTCTATGCTCATATTCTCTATAAACAGATTTGAACTGAAGGCAAAAAGAACCTTGCAGGCCCAGTGACATTATTTTCTGGTGTCATTGTTGGTTTTTATAAATTTTTATTTATATATGTATGAGTGTTTGCCTGCATGTATATCTGCAAACTACATGAACACACCTGGTGCCCATGGAAGTCAGGGGAGGCCATCAGGTCCCCTGGGACAGGAGTCACAGAGGGCTGCAGGCTGTCACGTGGGTGCTAGGAACTGACTCTGTGTCCTTCCCAAGAGCAGCCGGGCTCTTAACCGTGGAGCCATCTCTCCAGCCCCTGCTGTTACGCTTAAATGAATGCCTAGATTTCTGCACACGTGTAAATGGCTGTGGATATGTTATAGAACACAAAGCCCAAGGTTGGGGTGCTGACCTTTTCACCGTCACACACGTCCCGTCAGGGAACACAGTCTCCTCACAGCCATCCTTAAGCTGCTTCACGGTCCCATCAGGAAACACCGTTTCCTTGGAGCCATCCGGGTAGAATTTTTCTGCAGAATACATTGTTTAAAGTACGTGTTATATCGGATGCATTTGGAACCTGTGTTGTTGTATCTAAATGACCTATACTGAAATATGAATGAGGACGATCAAATCAGAGGAGTGTAATTAGGACTGGCAGACATAACACCCAGCGCCCTCTTGATTCAGATTTAGGTAAGTGAGGTTTGGACGTAGTGTTGACAGTTTCTAGTGCATAACGGTTGGTAGATATTTTGGCTTGGTTATGCTGAAAAAGTGATACACCTTTGTTAGAAATCCAATTCAAGTTTCAAAGTCTGCTACTCTTCTTGTATGTGGACTTTTGGTAAAATCCATCACTAGTGGCAGGCAATATTTTGTATTGCAGTCCCATACAGAACTAAACAGGGGAAGGGAGGTGCTAGAGGCCATTGCTCCCTCAGCCTCTCATGTGACCTCTAACGCCACCTCACAGTCTGCCACCGCATCTTTCCCCTCACACTGCACTATATTTCTCTCTGAACCATGAGCCAAAACTAATTCTCCCTGGTCACAGCAGTGGGAAAGTAACCAAGACACTCTTGGAAATGCTTCTGCTGTCCCACATGAACTTGCAAAGGCAAGCTAGATCATCAACAGTCGCGGTGACATCAGCCTTGTGGTGACATCAGCCTTGTGTGGAGACAGTCCTCACTGTGGAGCACGCTGAAGCATTGCTGCACCTGCGCTTACACGCGAGCCGAGGCTGGCAACCGTGCATGACACTCCGCCATCTGTGCTTTTCCGTGTGCGTCCGTGGGCAGTAGAAGAGCTTACAAGCGGAACGCCACGGATCGGCTTCCACGTGTTCTTCTCATGACCCCATGCTTTGTGCACGTTTTGGCCAATGGTTGGTGGTTGTTGGCAGACAAAAAGGAGACATTAAGTATACTTAGGAAAAGACTGTGGTGTGGAATCTGACAGCCAAGGATGAACTCCGTGCAGTAAGTGCCTGTTAGCCCAGAACTCTGAAAAGCTAACTGGAATGTTGGTGCAATGCCCTGGAGAAGTAGGGACTCACTAGCTTGAGAATCTCAAAATCCCCTGACTGTCTGATGCAGAAGCAAAGCATTTGCTGAACTGCGCAGAGCACAGACACAGGGATGCCCCTGAAAAGTGGCAAGGCGGGTTGTGATGTTTCTTTCACCTTGTTTAGAATTGTCACAGGAGGATGTTCTGGAGACAGGAGCCGTGGATATAGACAGTGACCGAACTCAGAACCCCTGCTATACAGTTACTTGATACATTAGAGACATTCCACACACAGCAGCCAGGGTTCAAAGGACAGATATGTCTATCAAACCCTTTTATTCTTTTCATCAGACCTGGCTAATATCATCAACCACCTTATAGAGCATTTATGAATGAGCAAGTGTAATTTTCTTTCTTCTTTTTCTTATTTATAAATGCCTGACCTTAGCTTGGCTTAGTTTTAGACAGCTTTTCTTCTTTTTTTAAATTGATTTTTATTGAGCTCTACATTTTTCTCTGCTCCCCTCCCTGGCTTTCCCTTCCCCCTTCAGCCTCCCCCCCCCAAGTCCCCATGCTTTCAATTTACTCAGGAGATCTTGTCTTTTTCTACTTCCCATGTAGATTAGATCTATGTAAGTCTCTCTTAGGGTCCTCGCTGCTGTCTAAGTTCTCTGGGATTGTGATTTGTGGGCTGGTTTTCTTTGCTTTATTTTTAAAAACCACCTATGAGTGAGTATATGTGATAATTGTCTTTCTGTGTCTGGGTTAACTCACTCAAAATAATGTTTTGCATAAGATGACAACTTATGCTGGAGAGGATGTGGGGTAAAGGGAACACTCCTGCATTGCTGGTGGAAGTGCAAGCTGGTATAGTCCCTTTGGATATCAGTATGGCAATTTCTCAGAAAGTTGGGAAACAACCTTCCTCAAGACCCAGAAATACCACTTTTGGGTATATACCCAAATTGTACCACAAGGACATGTGCTCAACTATGTTCATAGCAACATTGTTTGTCATAGCAAGAACCTGGAAACAACCTAAATGCCCCTTGACAGAAGAATTGATAAGGAAAATGTGGTATATTACACAATAGAGTACTACACCGAAAAAAAATAATGACATCTTGAGATTTGCAGACAAATGGATGGATCTAGAAAATGTCATATTGAGTGATGTAACTCAGACCCAGAAAGACAAGCATCATATGTACTCACTCATAAGTGATTTTAGACATAAAGCAAAGAAAAGCAGCCTACTATTCACAATCCCAGAGAACCTAGATGACAATGAGGACCCTGAGATAAACATGGATGTTTCATGGGAAGTAGTAAAAGACAAGATCTCCTGAGTAAATTGGGAGCATGGGGACCATAGGGGAGGGTAGAAGAGGAGGGGAGAGGAAGGGGGAGGGAGAAGAGAAAATATATAGTTCAATAAAAATCAATAATTTTTTAAAAAAAGCATACTGGAAATGGGAAAAAATAAAAAATACTGTGTGTTAAAAAAAGTAACACAAACACTGAGAGCAACAATAAATGAATGGGACCTCCTGAAACTGAGAAGCTTCTGTAAAGCATAGGACACTGTCAATAAGACAAAAAGGCAGCTTACTGAATGGGTAAAGATCTTCACCAACCCCACATCAGACAAAGTACTGATCTTCAAAATATATAAAGAACTCAAGAAATTAGACATCAAAATTCTAAATAACCCAATTAAAAATGGGGTACAGAACTAAACAGAGAAATCTCAATAGAAGAATCTCAAATGACCTAAAGATATTTAAGGAAATGTTCAACATCCTTAGCCATTAGGGAAATGCAAATCAAAAACAAGTCTGAGATACCATCTTACACCTGTCAGAATGGCTAAGGTCAGAAACACTATAATGATAGCTTACACTGGAGAGGATGTGGAGTACGGGAAATACTCATCCATTGCTGGTGGGAATGCAAATTTGTATAACCACTTTGGAAATCAGTATGGCAGTTTCTCAGAAAGTTGGAAATCAACCTATCTCAGAATCCAGCAATACCACTCTTGGGAATATATCCAGAAGATGCTCAATCATACTACAAGGACATTTGTTCAACTATGTTAATAGCAGCATTATTTGTAATAACCAGAACTTAGAAACAACCTAGATGCCCTTCAACCAAAGAATGGATAAAGAAAATATGGCACATTTATACATTAGAGTACTACGCAGTGGCAAAAAAAAAAACAAAAACAAAAACAAAAAAACAGTGACATCTTGAATTTTGCGTGCAAATGGATCAATTAGAAAACACTATCCTGAGTGAAGTAGCCTAGACCCCAAAAGATGAATATGATATGTACTTATTCATAAGTAAATACTAGCTATAAACAAAAGATATTGAGCCTATAGTTCAGGATACTAGAGAAGCTAAGTAATAAGGTGAACCCTAAGAAAAACATATATAGATACTCCTGGAAAGTTGAAACAGACAAGATCGCCTGACAAAATTGGGAGCATGGGGTTGGGGGAGAAGGGAAGGTAGAAGGGGAAGAGGAGGCAAGAAAGGGAGGTGTATGTCTTCTGCCTTCATCAGGGACGGGTGAGGAGAACTTGAGGGAATGGGATAGTCGAGATGGAGGAAGGACAGAGATGAGAGGAAGGAAAGAGATATCTTGATTGAGGGAGCCATTAGGAAGAAACCTGGCTCTAGAGAATTTCCCAGGAATCCACAAGGATGACCTAAGACCCTAAGCAATAGAGGAGACAGTGCCTGAACTGGCCTTGCCCCGTAGTCAGACTGATGAATATCTTAAATTTCACCATAGGACCTTCATCCAGAAACTGATGGAAACAGAGGCAGAGAACCACACTGGAGCACTGGGCTGAGCTCCCAAAGTCCAGTTGAAGAGGGGAGGAGTGGAGTGAGAATATGAGCAAAGAGGTAAAGACTATGATGGGGACACCCACTGAAACAGTCTTCCTGAGCTAATGGAAGCTCCCCAACTCCAACCGGACTGGGAAGGAACAAGCATAGGTCCAAACTAGTCCCTCTGAATGTGGGTGACAGTTGCATGGCTGGGGCAGACTGATGGGTCACTGGCAGTGGCACTAGGATTTGTCCCTACTGCATGTACTGTTTTTTGGGAACCTATTCTCTTTGGATGGATGCCTTGCTCAGCCTGGATATAGTAGGGAGGGCCTTGGGCCTTTCACAAAGCAATGAGCCTTACTTACCCTCTCTAAGGATTAGATGGGGGTGGGGTGAGAGGGTATGTAGAGGGAATGGGAGGAGGGGAGGGAGTGGGAACTTGGTATGTATAATGAAAAAAGTTTGTTTTCTTTTAAAAAATAAATAAAGGAAAAGACAAAATTTAAAAATGATATTGAAATAACAAAAAATGACTCTGGGTATAATTTTGCCCTATGTACTCCATGGAATAATTTCTAATAAAAAACATTAAAATCTAGCTGGGCAGCCTGTTTTTTTAGTGAATCTAAAGGCTGTATGTCTGCTGCTTTTTCCCAGGATGCTCATATACCCCACCATCTCCTCCGGCACAGACACACAAGGCCCTGAGCCAGCAGGTCCAGGGTGACGTCACTCACCAGTCCACTTGTTCGGAAACTGCACGACTTCAACACCATCCGGGTAGGTTGTGTGTGTCGTCTGTGCATCTGCATAGTAGTAAATCTGTGAAGACCAGGGCATGCACATTGGGAGGCGGCCCCTAATGCTGTTGCATTTGAATCAGCTGAATCTGATTGATTGCTTCCCATAGGTGGCTCATGGTGCAGGCTCAGCAGATGGGTTCTGTGGGAACTTCCACAGTTCAGAACCACAGGCGGTGGGGAGGAGTGACATTTTATGTATATTTTAATAAATAAAGCTTGCCTGAAGACCAGAACACAAAACAGCCACACTAGTCAGCCATAGAGGCCGGGTAGAGGTGGTGCATACCTTTACTCACAGCACTAGAGAAGAATAAAGGGCGGGAGGAGACAGGAACTCGCTCTCTTTTCAGCCTTAATATTCCATAGCCGTAAGAGCTCTCTAGTGGCTAGGCTGCTTTGCTTTTCTGATCTTCAGCTTGAGCCCAGTAGGTTAGCTCAGGCCAGTGGAAGAGCACCTGATAATTCACGGCAGAGGATGGGGAGCTGGTGGGACACCACTGACCTGCAAATCTGCCGGCTGAGACCATAAAAAATCTCGCTTGCATCAAACACCAAGGACGAAATTCTCATTAACAAGAAGGTTCTGATCTTTCTCCTCCCCTCCCCTCCTGACACCAGGAGAGGAGAAGGATGTGCATCTGGGGACTGTTGCTCCTGACTGTGGCTCTGACTCAAGACAAGACAAGTATGCTCACTGCACGCACCACTCTCTGGTCAGACTTGACCTTCTTCATGTCACCATTAAAGAACTTGATGAGGGTCGTCTTCTTGTCGGCACTGATCTCCTTCCTGGTTCCGTTGGGGAAGGTGATGATTGTCCGCCCGTCGCGGAGTACTTGCTCCACCTTGATGGAAACACAAAGACTCGGGGTGAAGACCTGTGACAAGCACAATTGCCACGGCTCCACTGTTTCTCCTTGTATTCAAAATCACTGCGCACAGCTTGTCTGGCATGGTGATTACTAACACACACACACACACACACACACACACACACACACACACCATCCTGCATTTGCTTGTCAATAGTAAGTGTTATGGTCTGTTCCTCCATGTCTGCCTTCCTTGTGCTGAGGCTGTGTGTTTGCCATGGGTCTGTAAGATCTAAGGTCATAGGAGTGATGAACCCGTACCCTGGGCACAATTACTATGTAGAAATGAACTTGTATGCATTTTTTGTCCTTCCTGTCTTCTCCTTTCCACTCATACACTACACTCATGGCTTCAGTGAATAATTAGCAAACAGGCAGCTTCATGTGCACACTGCTAGACTTTTGGTAGGAGACATTACCCTGTAAAGATCAGTGTAAACAAAGACACTTGCAGAAATAACCTCAATTTGGGGAGTTAATATATGTGTACTTTAAAAGCTCCATGTAGAATTTATTAATTATGCCACGCATTGTAACTATTCTTAGCACAGCTGGAACTGTAGGAGCTGATTCATCAGAGTTAAAAACCAACACTTCTGAACTAATCAGAGAACTAGCCAACCAAAACCAGCTGACAGCCAATACAGCAGAGGTTTGAGCTAAGTCTACACTCTTATGTCCTTGCTCACAAATACAGCAGCTGAATGCGTAAGCTGTGTGCAGGTCAGAACCAGAAGACGAGTTCTTGTTCTCAGCCAACCAGAAAAGCTCCAACGAGGCTTCAGTGGCCAGCTGCCTCTCTCAATAACAAAGCGCACTGTTCTAAGGCTCTACACGGGGAGATCATAAAATCAACCACAGTTGCGCGAACCAATCCAGGAACCGTGCTTCAGCCAATAACCAGCACAGACGATGGTCATTGTATAAGACAGTAGTGGAGCTGACCATTTCCTGTCACCTCATGCAGTGTGGCACTGAGCATTTCTGAGGTTTGTGGTGATGCTGGGCCAATGTGCCTGTGTGTGATACGTCACAGACCGCTATCCAGTCTGCACCAGAAACTGACAACAGACAACAGACAGTGACTCGTGCGTTTGCTCTCCCAGACATGTCGTCTTTATTTCAGTGCCTTTCTCACTGTGCGGGACACGTCCTGCATGGTAGTGTGACTGCTGCCCATGCCGCCTTGCTCCTCACATTTACCATGTCTCTTGCTTGCACCACAGGGTCATGTGGAGTAACTGAGGATGTTCACACAATGGTGACGTCACCAAACGCCGTTCTGAGAGCATGTCATCACTCAGTCATGTGTGATCATGTCATTTTTAAAGTATATTATAAGGACAGAGTACAAGCTGGTGGTACGCCTTTAATGCCAGTACCCAGGAGGTAGAGGCAGGTGGATCTCTGTGAGTTCAAGGCCAGCCTGGCTTACAGAGCAAGTCCCAGGGGCAGTCAGAACTGTTTCACAGAAAACCGTCTTTAAAAACAAAAACAAAGCAGCTACCTCCTCAAAAATAGGATCTGAGCCATCAAAGAGGATGTAAGGCTTATTATATTCTAGTTTAGACTTTGCCATGGATTTTTTATTTTTAGTGGTAAATAAGTGTGTAAAATGTATTTGATAGTGAAGGTGTAAAATTTAATCTGACTCCTCACCGATTCCAAATGGCTGTTCTCACTACAGAAGAGCATTGAGAGGTATAGACTTTGGGTCTGGTTAATTTTAGTGTGTGACTTTTCTTACTGCAATTCTTCTACAATGAAGTTTTAATTAAAAATAGATACAGTTTACAATATAAAAATAATCGAACAATTCAGCATATTCCATGTAAGACACACATAGACTGATCCAAGACGAAGGATCAGAAGAGGCAGTAAGGTGATGGGGACTGTAAGGGAGGTGGTACCCAGGGAGGTGGTACCCAGGGAGGTGGTACCCAGGGAGCAGGGCAGTGAGGTCAACGCACAGCAGAATAAGATGCCACAGACACCTGCTTCTCACATCCATCCTTGTGGCTCCCGGAGACCAAGGGCCTGATTGGTGTGTAACTCGCTGGACACTAACCAGCACCGCCCTGCTCCCTACGGGTCTCGTCGTGTGGGCTGTGCTCAGCTGTGTTTCTTTGCCCGATAACTGTGCAAAACAGCTAAAGAAGGGGTCTAGGGATGCAGCTCAGTTGGTCACTGCTTGTCCAGCATGCTTGAAGCCCTGGGTCCCATTCCCAGCCTAGCCTGACAGGATGCGGTGTCACACGCCTCTTATCCTAGCACTTGGGAGGAGGAGGCAAGAGGACCAGAAACCCAAGGTCATTGTGCTACCTAGTGGGTCCATAAAGGCTGAGACCTGTCTAAGAGCAGAAGAGGGGGAAGGAGAAGGGGGCTGGGAAGGAGGAGGAGGAGGAAGAGCAAGAGGAGGAGATTTTAGTGAAAAACTGTGACGTCAGGAAGCTTTCCTTCTTCCTCTGCTCAGCCCAGAGGAGACTCACTCCAGCAAGAGAGGCTGAAGGTGAACTGGGCCATCATCGCTTCAGCTGCTTGCTTGGGCCACAGCAGCTCCTCCTTCCCATGGTCCCCAAGTCAACCCCAGTCCCCTGGCAGTAGATCTCTGGGACAAAATGCTTCTTGAGGTAGCAGTGGGTGTCACTGCGGTGAGAGCGGCAGGTATTTGTCACTGGAAGCAAACTGCTCAGTGATGCTCTGGAGAGGTGTGGCCACCAGCCTGTAGCTCCAGGACAGCCTGCACAGGGAGAGTGGCTGGGAAGAGCTGTGTTCCACAGACACCTACCTTGCCATTTGGGTGTCGCTTTTCCTGTGTCTCCTTATCCTTCTTGGTGTTCATGGAGCGTGGTACTTCTTTAGATGGTCCTGATCTTGCAATGAGATTCTGTAGAGAGATTAAAACCATTGCCTCCTGTGGCCCCCTGTGAGGACTACAGGGCCTCATCAACACTGGCTCTTGGGACCAAGTTTATGTTTGTAAAGCTATTTCTCTCATCTTATGGACCATGCTTGATCCGTACCAGGGTGAGCAAGATGGCAGTCACCAAATTCTGATTCTGACTGCACATCACTCAGGCCTCGAGATGCATCGGTAGCAGGAGTTTACGAGGTAACTAAACCCATCTCACATTGCTGATAATGATACTGACTGCTTTTAGGGAACCCCACCCCCCATTGCCCACCTTCACATGGTTTCAAAGTACTTTTCAGCCCACATTTCCTCCTGTGGAGAAAATCGCTTATTCTGTTGCCATTCCTCTCAGACACTGTGCAGCTATGAGGTGACCCTGGCTATAGATCTTGGCCTTTTACTCTGTTCATTTCCACTGAGAATTGAAAATAAAGAAAACAAAACAGAATAAAAATTTTGGCTTCTGGATCCTTAAGGTCACAGAAGCTTGACCTGCCTTTGGCCACTGGCCTAATGCTGCCCTCCATTGACAAAGGGTTGCCTTGTTTCTCTCTTTTGAAAGGTAGAGAGTGTCAGAGACTAGGGTCGTTTGCAGCCATAATAACCTTCCGCGCTCATGAAAAAGGGATGGAGTGGCAGCCCCTCCACTGTCACTGTCACCACCTCCAGGTCTTAACGCCCCAGCTTCCCCACCAGGTGAAATCCTACCTACCTGCAGCCACAGTGTATTCTGGGAAAAACTAGAGAGGAGCCTGCTTGTTTGAGCCTGCATGAGAAGCTCACCTTCAGAACTCTCTGGGTTGGAGGACCATATATCTAAAAGAGCAGAGAAGAGCTTTTCAAAAGACTGCATGCATAGAGTGAGAAGGTTGTATTCCCCGTGTGACTAAGTTTCCAACATGTTCTCGTTGTTCCTGGGGTCGCTGTGCACATGCCGTCGACTGATTGCGTGAAATCATGAAATGTTGAGTGGAGACAGTCAGCCCTTGTCTGCTGACTCTGTCGTCACTAGAGTTGTGGTTCAGAAGACTAAGCTAGCAGAGGGTGGTGTCTGTTGTGCAGCTGCTTTTGCCCCAGGAAGGGACGGGCACAGGAAGAGAAACCCAGGGACAACTGCCCACTGGACACGTGGAAGGAAACAGAGGCAGCGGGGGAGGGAGTACTGTGTATCCAGGGCAGTGGGGAGCAGGTAGAAAGGTCACCGTCGCCAGGGAACTGACAGCCACACACCCACAGCCGAGAGCAGAGAGAAGAATGCATAGATGCTTGCTTGCTCTCAGCCGGCTTTCTCATCTCCTTCAGGACCCCTTGCACAGTGCTTATCAGACACAGGCCAACCTGATATAAACAATTCCCCAACCAGGTTCTCTTCCAAGGCGATTCTAGGTTGTGCCAAGTGGACATAACCAACACACAGAGTGTGGGAGGCTTGGGCATTTGGACAGTGCTCTCTATATGGCGTGCTGCTGAAGAAGGTTTGGTTGCTATGACCTCGATAGAAGAAGTATAGTACTTGGCTCCACTTCCAGTTTGCTCTGCTTTTTGTCTGTGGTACCTACCCTTAGGAGCTGGCCCTTTGGAACCATAAACCCAGTAGATTCTTCCTGCTGGAAGTTGATGTGGTCGTGGTGCTTTACAATAGCGATAGAAAAATAACTGATTCACAAGGGTCCAGAAATGTCACACAGGCTCAGGGAGAGACAGCGCTGTGCTGACGCATGCACAATGGTTCAGGGCTCAATATGCCAAAGGGGGCTCACGTGGGCCACCAAAGAGGGTAGGTAAGAATCAGGCTACAGGAGGATGAGGGCTCTCTCTTCCCACTAGGGGTGCCGCTGAGCCTGGTAGCCAAGGCTCTGTGCAGACTCCACAGCAGAGTTCGAGCACACCCTGAGCTCAGGGGCGCAGAGTGTGGCGGTCACCACTGTCGGCAGGCCTCAGTGGGACATTCTCCCTGCCACTGTGGGAACCCACAGCTGGCACCCACGGAGACAGGAGAGCCTGGATAGACAGTTTGAGCTCAGGGGAAGATCAGGCAATTGCTGGGCAAGAACAGATAAAACAGGCAGGTAATGTCACATGCCAGCAAGCAGAAAGGGAAGGGCTAAGGATGGCCCTGAACAGCCAGCCTGGGCTCTGCTGCAGTGTTGAGAGAGGTGACCGAGACAGATGAAGGAGCTTGAGGAGGAATCAGACAGAGAGTGGCCAGGCCCACGTGTCACATCCCTCCCTGGTCCCAGGGAGCTCTAGGGACCTCACCCACATGCCACATCTCTCCCTGGTCCCCTGCCACTTCATTCCTCTCACCAGCCACTGACTCTGTGTCCAGAGCTGTGGTGTCCGATGGTGGTTCTGGTGATATCCTGCCAAGGCGCGTTTGCACAAACTTGGAAGACAGGTGCATAACCTGGATGTAGAGAGAGTCAGAAAACCAGTGATGCCACCAGACCAGTAACCGGATGCTGTGCACAGCTGTGTCAGCTTCCAGACACCTTAATCACGTCATGTCTCAGACTCTGCCAAGAGTACTGGCTCCGTTCCCTGAACTCAGGCAATTGACCCAAAATAGGGAATTTCCACCCATATAATCGTTTTGTTTTTAAAGATAACTTCAGTTCTGTTTGGCTTCTTGTTTTAATACTGAAGGCATGTGTGAAGACACTCACTTTTCTGATCTATAGGAACAGTTACAATTTACAAATCCCCGAGCCCGTTTTGAGTGACAGATGGAATGCTCTTGTTGGACTTCATGTAGCTGGGATAAGCAGGATGTATTCTTGGGGTGGGGAGGTGAGGAGAGGGAGGTTGGCAAAATGTATTCTGCTCAAGCGTGAGGGTTGACGTTCAGATCCCTAGAACCCACAAAAGGCCAGGTGGGGCAGCATGCCTAGAACCCCAGCATCCAGAAAACAGAGACCAGAGGTCCCTGAGGCTTACTAGTCAGAGCCCAGTCAACCGGTGTAGTCAACCATGCTCAGTTAGGGAGCTTGTCTCAAAATGCCAGGGGACGGCCCGATGGTTAATTAAGAGCTTTGCTAGCATTTCAGAGGGACCCCCGTCTGGCTCCCAGCTCTCATGTTGGATGGTTCACGATTGCCTGTAACTCTAGCTCAAGGGGATCTAGCACAACCTTTTCTGGCCTTTATGGGCATGCAGAGGGCGCATGTGCACCAGCATGTAAAAATAACTCAGAGAAATGATGTGGAAACAGATAGAGGAAGACAATGGACACAGAGAGAGGGGGAGAGAGAAAGGACAGGGAGGGAAGGAGAGAGGGGGAGAGAGACCATACACAAGCGGTACAAGTTCCCAAGGTCACCTTTTCATCAAAAGACATAAAAGATAGTCTTTCATCTAAGGAGTCTGTTCCTCCAGTGGCCATTGTGCTTCCGTTTTGAAGACTTCCGGAAGGGACATCTTCTCTGTCGTCCCATGATGTTGTTTTCTCTGAATCGATCCCCTCTATTCTTACGTACACAGGCTAGAAACAAACGTGGGGGCATTTTCATCAACATCAGATAATCCAGTCCAAAAGTACCAATTAACGCACCATGTTTGCTACCCCCACAGCGTTTTCAGTTCCCTGGGGGAGCAGAAGGGAAGCTGCTGTCTGTACACCTTCCCACACAGTCTCAGTCTAGAACCATTGCACTCTGAAGTCTAGAAAGGGTTTGATACCATGCTTAATAAAGAACATGAAACCAAATTTAACAGATTTTAAGAAAACTGAGTTTCTAGCCTTTGTGCTATTTTAAAAATCAGTGGTTCTGTTGTATGGCTTAGCTTGCCACTCATCACTTGCCTTCAAGCACACAGATAACTGATTACACGTAGTCTCTTCTGCTGTGGCCCCACACTCACCCCAAACCGCTGCACACGGAGTCTCATGCAGACAGGCAATGAGTGCAGAGCCACCAGAGGCCTGTGAGGACCCCCAAGGGGCAGCAATGCCTAGGCTTAAAGGGCACAGGGAGGGAAACCCTCATTTTAATCTGCTCTAATATTGAATAATATTGAATGTCTTCATAATGGCTTGAGCTAGGAGCCTTGGACTGGATGTCCTACATGTTGGTGATATTAGACTGCTGTTGGGTGTGACCTGTGACCTGCCACCTGCTTCTTGCAGACACCAGTTCCAAACAATCACAGGACCCAAAAGATAAACAACTCAACCCTCGTGCCCTTGCATTAGGCAACTTCAGCTGAGCATATGGGGAAGTAGGAAATGCGGAACACTTCAACAATATTAGTTAAAGTTTTTCATACAGTATTTTCCCTCTCTCTCAACTACTCCCAGATTCTCCCCACCTCCCTACCTAGCCAACTTCATGTTCTCTCTCTCTCAACCCCCCAAAGCAAACAGAGAAATGAAATAAAAACAAACTAGAAAAAAAAGAGCAAGACAAAAAGAAACAAAATACAGGCACACAAAAACAATGAACCAAACAACAACAACAACAAAACCCAACAACTACAGAATCTGTGTTGTGTTGGCCAGCTACTCCTGGGTGTGGGCCTGCCTTGGAGTGTGGTTGATGAGCCCAGCTACTCTCCCCTTTCCTGGCAGCTACCATTTGTAAATAGCTTTTTGGTCAAAGGTGGGACCTTGAGTCCCCTCCCGTTCTGAGCTCTGAGTGCCGGGATTTCACATGGTTTGAACCTGTGCATCACGGTGTGCTGGCACAGTCTCCCTGAGTTCACAGTGCATCAGCCCTGTTCTGTCTGGATGGTGCTGTTTCTGTGGAGTCACCGATCACCTCTAGTTTTACAATCTTCCCACTCCCTCTTCCACATAGATCCCTGAGCCCTGAAAGGAGGGTTTTGATGAAGACAGCCCATCTAGGACCAAGTGCCCCAAAGTCTGTGTGTGTATTGTACATCTGTGTTTCTCTATGTTAATGCCCATCTACAGCAAGGAGAAATGTTTCTGATGAGGGTTTCGGTAGCACTGATCTATGGATCTAGCAATGTGCTGTCAGGATATCTTCTGTTAGCAGAATAAGAACATTTGTGTTTTTTCCTAGGCCCATGACCTATCCAGTTTCTGTTTCTGGACCGGTTTAGCAGTGGCAGGTATGGGTCCCCCCTCATGGAATGGGCCTTAAATGCCATAAGGAAGTGGCTGGTTACTCCCGTAACATGGATGCCATGGTTGCCCCTGTGTATCCTGCAGGCAAGTCTCTGTTTTTGGTAGCGTGCCTGTAGTGGGTGACACTGATGTTACCGTTCTCCTCTGGTGGCCTGCGGAATTACCTTACAGCACCGTGAACACTAGCAGCAGGGTTGAAGCTTCTAGTGGGATATCAGCTTAGGTTCTCCATGTCAGTGAAGACGTTGTGTCTTCAGTTTGTGGGGAGCAACCAATAGCCTTAGCCATGGCCTGCTATGTTTGGGGAGTTCAAGGGACCCCTTTGGCCAATGACTCAACAAGATGTAGTCCATTCCCATCACTAGAGGATTTATTTGGTGGGATAATATGTCTAGTTGGGGCATCGTCTTTCCTGTTATATGCTGACTCCATTTAAATTCCCTTCATATACATACATACATACATACATGTTTTGGAAACTTCGACAGCAGTAGGATCCCACGTGACTTTTCAGAAGGCCTTTAGTTACACAATACTCATGGAACTGGCCAAAGACCTGAGATACAGGTATTCCTCTGGAGGCTGTCTATAAATGTGGCCTTGGTATTCTATGTTGCACACTCTCCTCTGAGGAAGAAGGGTCAGTGTGAACCTCTGGCACCATTTCTCCAGGGATCACTTACATTGTGCACCCCATAAACACGTGTACACAAGGCAGACCTTTTGACACCATCACTAGAATGGTGTTTGAATACAGATAACTCTGGGCAAATTTAAAAATGTGGCATTTACCGCCTTGATTTTTTCGTTGTCATTCAAAGGTGGGTGTGTGCGGTTTAGAGGCTGTTCTTATCTACAGTCACGTGAGGAGCAGAATTGTGCAGTCAGTGAGCTTTTGAGACTGACCTCTGACAGAGACAGAGGAATACCCTGCAGACTCGTGGGCACATCTTACCCACATACCCACATGAGCAAAGTTTAACGGAGGCAACGCGGTAGCAAAGGCCACATAAAATCTCCCATAGGGCCCCACTCAGCTTCCACCAGTGACAGCAGCCTGCTCTCAGTCACTAATCACAGGGTTATACCTCTCTCCTATCTCCCCTGTGACTCGGTTGGGTTAATGACAGAATCTAGTCCACCACTTAAGGTAAAGTAGGACCCTAGAATCCGGAGGTGGCCTGGTCAGGTGTCCAGCTGTTCCATCAGAGCCTGGGAATTCCTGGAGACAGAGTGGCGACATGCTCTGCTCCCAGGGCTCCCGGGACGGTCACTTCTGTGTGACCTATGACTGAGAGACAGAGTGCCCAGGGGAGACAGCATGCCTGCAAGGGAGGGGACATGCCTCCTTGTGCCATTAACCCTGCAACGCAGAAAGTCTGCTGTACCAGAGTATTAGTTGTTCTTGCTGTGGGTGGCAAGGTGACAGAAGATTTTGTGGCCCCAACACTCTGCTGCTTCAGGGCCTTCAGTTCCTCACGGAGCTCCTGGTTCTCCTTCATCAGAGCGTCGATCTGGCTTTGGAGGTCTCTGTGAGCCACACACCAACAAGACGCCTGTCTTGAGACCTCTGCTGCAAGGTCGCAGATCTGCTTCTGCAGTCCCTGAGGTGGGGAAAGAATGACAGGCACTTCTCAGGAACCCTGAGGGAGTACTGACACCCCCCCCCCCCCCCCCCCGCGCCAAAACAGAGTCCACGCCCACAAGGGGTTGTGGACTTCTGAGATGTTGTTCTCCAAAGAGAAATCAGGTGTCCACAGCTTTAGCATTGTCAAGCGTGTCCACTAGGACTTACTCCACACACGCTAACCAGATCTAAGGGCTGGTGAGGTACGGCCACCGCTAGAGCATTTCCGTGAAAGAAGTTCACTTCTCTTGCGCAGCCTTCTCCTCTGGGGTAGTTGAGAAGGGGTTGCCACCATGGGTCCAAAAACGACGGAGACCCAGCCTCTGGTCCTAACTTCATTAATCCCTTGCAGGGGTGACCTCCGAGAGAAGTGAGGGAAGCAGAGGCACCTGCCCACATCACAGGACAGTTAGCTCCACCCCTGAGCATGCCGCTGGGAAGGACAAGGCCTGGTCTAGGGACACCTCCTCCCCACGGCAATTGCTTTCCCACCAGTTGCTGCCCCAGACCTCTGAGGTTAGGTTTGTCCTTTGTCCTGTCACTTTGACAGGACCTCCTGCTCGGTGTTGAAGGTGTCCCTGCCAAGCTCTACCACCTCTGTGGGAAACGTCATTGAAGGTGGTGTGTGTGTGTGTGCGCGCGCGTGCGCGTGTGTGCGTGTGCATGTGCACGTGGGTGTGAGTGTGTGCGCACATGCGTGTGTGTGTGCATGTGGGTGGGTGTACGTGCATGTGTGTGTATGTGTGTGTGGTGTGTGTACATGGGTGTGCATGGGTGTGAGTGTGCCCATGGATGTGTGTGCTTGTGGATGTGGATGTGTGCGTGTGTGCGCACATATGTGTGCATGGGTGTGTGCGCGCATGTGTGAGTGTGTGTGTGTGGCAGCTATTTCCAGAAGCCTGTTGTTTTCCTCTTCAATAGTGAGGAACAGACTTCTCTTTCCTTCCCTAAAGATTATCACTAAGAGAAAGACCGCATATCGGATGGACTGAATCTTAGAGAGAGAATGGAATGACAGGCATTAGAGAACACCTTCCTGACCATCTCGTTCTCCTAGTTCTGGAGACAATGGGGGAGGGATTGCATTTTAGTTTTAATATTCTTCCTTTCTGGGAACTTTGTCACTAACACCAAATTTGGAGGATTTGGGCAGAGAGCAACGACAGTAAGGGCACTTAGGGACCCAAAGTGTGTCTCTGCCAAACAAACCCAGGGACACGTTTTGTTTTTTATTAATATTTGTTAATTGCACATTTCGATGAGAGATTGCTGTGATATTCCTCCAGCACACAAAGTGTCACAAATGCATCCTACAGTTCTGATCTTCCTGGAGGAGACAGGGCCCCCAAGGGACACTTGGAACTGGGGGCCTTGGATGTCCAGTGAAGAGCAGTGTTAAGCGTCCAGATCCAGGACGTGTGTGCTGGAAGGAGCACTTGGCAGGGGATCAGCTGCGCTAGTCAGCTTCCTATCCACTCAGAAAATAACAGAGGGAGCCAACTTAGAAGGGAGAAAGTTTGGTTTAAGCTACTGGGTTCAAAGCTTTCAGTTCACAGCTGCTGGGCTCCACCACTTTGGGCTTGTGCTGAGACAGAACTGTTCACCTTAGGACAGCCAGGAGGGAGGGAGGGAGGAAAGGAGAGAGAGAGAGAGAGAGAGAGAGAGAGAGTTGTGGAAAAGCCTGGGTCTTCACTAGCTCTTTCAAAGGCATACTCCTAACGACCTAACTTCATCTGCCTTCACCTCTACCAACTGCCAATAGTGGTGCCATGTGAACATCAATGTTACACACGGATGTGATCTTTGGGGGACGTCTGGGACTCAGACTGTAACTCCAATGTTACACATGTGTGTGCTCTTTGGGGGACGTCTGGGACTCAGACTGTAACTCCAATGTTACACATGTGTGTGCTCTTTGGGGGACGTCTGGGACTCAGACTGTAACTCCAACTACAGTTTCCCAGACCTTAGAAAACCTTAATACCAACAAGCCACCGGCCAGTGAAGAGGGATGAACAGCGTGACAGTGACTAGGGGTCAAGCTATTTAAAACAAAAACAAGATTCAGGGATGCCTGAGAACTCAAGAAGACCCCCGTTTTGCCTTCCCCATCAGAAGAACACCATTTTCTTAACATTTACTCATTAGGAAACACAGCCCTGTGACCCTGTGATGTTCTCTGTGGGCTACTTTATAAAAGCGATGCTCATATCCCCGTCTTTCTTCAACAGTGCTGCATGACCTCTATAGTTAGGGGCTCACGTCCTGTCCCTCCACACACATTAGGAATCTGGCACAGTGTGGGACACCCAGTAGTGGGATGCTGTTCCTGAGGAGCCCCAGGGACAGCTCTACGCACGGCAGTCTCTTCTGCTTGTGGATATAAGCCCTTTGCTCCATCCTCACACCCCGCTCTGGGAAGAGAGCTAGAACATGAATCTTCTCTGAAGAGACTGGAACATCCAAGAGTCCTCTCATGCCTCAGAGAAAAGAACACGCCCTTCCCTTCTCATGTACTCTGTGAAAGCCATGCCTCCAGGCTCCCACCTCTGCATGCTTGGGCTACTGTTGGCTACTCAGTGACTTCCCCTACGGTCTCTGAGTCCCTTACTGCAAGGGGATCCTCACACATTTGGTCAAAAGGCCACAGGTTTTATGCTGCAGCCAGAGTGCAGACTCTGCAATATTAGCAGGCCACCCCTAATGATACCCCACCCAGTACTGACAAAATAAGATATGTTTAGGCGAGGACCTAGTGCTAAAGAAACACTGTCAGCATCAAAGTTGTGATGGCTGTGTCTCTAGACCCTCAGCGTCCACAGTGAGCCCTCAGATATGCTGCGATTGTGTGTTCCCAGCTTATAACAGCTACTGGAAGCCAGAGAGCTCTAAACTTCACACTCCAGGTTTTCCGTGGACCTCTTCAGTTGACCCAGTGAGCACTGCAGCCTTGTCCTGAGAATAAACGGGGTCAGATCCTAAAAGAGGTTATAGCCTCACATGGAACAAGGAGATGGATAATGTGGAATGGGTGTGCACGCGTGCGTGTGCCTGTGTGTGTGTGATGGATAATGTGGAAACAGTATGTGCATGTGTGTGTGATGGATAATGTGGAAGCAGTGTGTGTGTGCGTGTGTGTGCATGTGTGTGTGCGTGTGTGTGCACGTGTGTGTGCTCATGTGTGTGTGTGTGCACGTGTGTGCACGTGTGTGCACATGTGTGTGCATGCATGTGCACGTATGTGTGCGCACATGCATGTGTGTGCACATGTGTGTGCATGCATGTGCACGTATGTGTGTGCACATGCATGCGTGTGCATGTGTGTGAGTGTGCATGTGTGTGATGGATAATGTGGAAACAGTATGTGCATTGTGTGTGCAGGCATGTGTGTGTGATGGATAATGTGGAAGCAGTGTGTGTGTGCGTGTGTGTGCATGTGTGTGCGTGTGTGTGCACGTGTGTGTGCATGCATGTGCACGTATGTGTGTGCACATGCATGCGTGTGCATGTGTGTGAGTGTGCATGTGTGTGATGGATAATGTGGAAGCAGTGTGTGTGCGTGTGTGCACATATGTGTGTGTGAGTGTGCAAGTGTGTGATGGATAATGTGGAAGCAGTATGTGCATTGTGTGTGCGGGCATGTGTGTGTGATGGATAATGTGGAGGCAGTGTGTGTGTGCGTGTGTGTGCACGTATGTGTGTGCACATGCATGCGTGTGTATGTGTGTGTGAGTGTGCAAGTGTGTGATGGATAATGTGGAAGCAGTATGTGCATTTGTGTGTGCATGTGTGTGCGGGCATGTGTGTGTGTGCATGCATGTGTATGTGTGTGTGTGTGATGTGGAAGCAGTGTGTGCGTGAGTGCGTGTGTGTGCATGTGTGATGGATAATGTGGAAGCAGCATGTGCGTGTGTGTGTGTGCGCGCGCGCGCGTGCGTGTAAGGATCAGGGAGTTTGGTGGCACGGTTTAAGGAATATAAATGTCCTGAAAATACTGACACATTTTTCAGCAGCCTGGAGCCTTCTCCAGACCTAGAAGAAGGGAGGCAATGTGTTCTGCATCCTCAGCTCTGCACCTGCCACTCAAAGTCACCACAGACCCTGGATCAGGGTTTCTCTAGGAGAACGCAGCACCCCAGCTCAGAGTGAGCTCACACTGCAACGGCCCTAAGGGACAACTTGAGTTTTAGAAAGGAGCGGCAGGTCTCAAGACAAGAGGCAGAGTCCTGCCCAGTACATTCCCCATCCAAGAAGACACGCTGCTTCTTGGCTTGGCTTACCACAGGCTCCTCAGGTTTGCTGTTCTCCCCAGAGACCAGGGCTGTAGCATCCATCTCCTTCTCATGCTTGGCCCCTGCTCCCTGACTCGGGTCCTCTAACATGGCAGGCCTCCACTGACTCCTTAGCCTCGAGGTGACCGGTAAGCATTCTGGTTGTAAAGGAGGAAGGGTCATGGGGTCTTCTTGGCACATCCCACCTCTGCCCCTCCGATTATCATCTCTCGGCCTTCCAATCCTCCCACGTAGGATGGAGAAATCCCAACCACGTGTCACGGAGTCCCCCACCCTACAGCCTGGGAAGTTTCCACCTGGAGCTGACCAAGGAATGGTTTCTATGCCTGGAAACCACAGACTGGAAAGAACCCGGCCACTTCCAAGTGGTGTGTCCCCAAAGGTGGGTGGGAGTCAGCATGGTGCCTGATCACAGTGCCAGCATTACCTTGAGGGGAGCAGCGCCTCGAGAGGGCACCTGGGAAGTCTTAGTCCTTCATCAGACCTCTGCTGTGGATGCCTTTGACTGCCTCTCATCAGGACAAACCCCTTGTCCCCAACCTACAACTCCATAACCTAAAACGATGACGTAGAAGCAGGGGTTTATGGAACCTGAGACTTGGAACCGTGGGGGAGGAGCCCAGCAGGAGGCAGCTGAGTGGAGAGGAAAAGCAAGGAGCTGCCTTCCATAGGATAGCACAGTACCAGAAGCCAAATCAATTCCCTCCCATGGCCACCAAAGCCCCACTACGGCTAATCCCCACCCCCTTTCCAGTGTAAGGGGGTGGTGGCCATTGGCAGGTTCAGGAAAGACTGAGCATTGGTGAGTGTCAGGGCTTCTCAGACAGAGAATGTCTGAGAACTGAGAATGCCCTGACCACAAATCACAACTATAACAACATACTTCCTGTTTCTACATATAATCATGTGTGCTCATCAGCCTAGGCTGTATACAAACAGGAATGAGAAGCTGAGCCACAATGACAGGCAGTCTGGCTGGAGACAAGGTGTTTCCTAGTGAGAGACAAGCAAAGGCATCTGTAGCACGGCCATTCACAGCCCCCCTCAGTGGTTTCTGCAAAGGTGGACAGGCAACCATGGCTTCTCTGAAGGGGGACTCCACACTCCCCAACACTGGCTCCTAAGGGCCTCTCTTCAGGAGTACCCTCCCCCTGAGCCCCCCAGGAATCATGGGTCACTTCACCTAGCCTAAGATGGTGGCTTCTGCCAGGACATGGCTCATCCAGGCCATATCCCAACAGCTCTCTGTGTCCTCCACACAGCTAGCATTAGAACTCCGGGAAACCTCTCCATTCTAAACTGACTCTCTGACTTAAAGGGCCATGCCAACTCATACAGCCTTGGGATTTTTATAAGGTTAAACAGTCACCACCCGTGATTTAGCTAGAGTAAGCTCATATCCATCCACACAGAGAACTGGAGTGAGCCATATTGTCTGCACAACTGATGATGATACCAAGTTTCCTACACTCAGCAGAATAAAGACTCAATTCTCTCAGCACACATTCTTGAAAAACTATAACATTTCTGTAAAATAAAAACAGCTTAGGGATGCTCACAGATAGAATATGATCTCTACAAGGCTAAATGGAAGACACAAGACAAAACTTCATCATTCCACAAAATGCTTTATGGACTAAATGGTCCCTCTGGGTTTCGTGATTAAGGGCGATGATGAGCAAGAGGGAAAGAGTCAGTGCATTGCCTTCATCCCTGAATCCCTGGCCCTCACTTCTCATCCATGTTGCTGGATTTGGAGTGGTTGAATATTTAAAGGCAAATAGAATGAACATTTTATACAAGAGTGTGTCATTCCCTACCTGTGGACTCATGATGTATATCCTGGGGACATAGAGTGTTCTAACTGGGTTGGGATTGACTATGCCGCTCCTAGGAGACCTTAAGCTGCTTCTCTGTCTCTCTCCATTATCAAGTTCTTCTTGGACCAAGTCCTCGTTAGCCAGCAGAGGCCGGGTGTCCAGGGCTTTGATTGTATCCATTGGATGATAAGACACCCAGGGCCTGGCTCTGGTCAGAGGCACTCCTGCCCAGTAAGGAACCTAACATGGGTCCATGTGAGTGTGTCTGCAGAACCCTCCGGCCGCACAGCTGGAGAGGGAGCAGAGCTTCAGAGGTGCGAGGAGAGCCACCTCCAGCAGACTCCACACCACTGTAGCCTCTTCTCTGCCTGGGAGTAGGCTGGGTGGGGGATGTCCGTAAGCACACTTGCGGGAAGGGCCACACTGTGTTGCCTTCTGCCCACTCTGATGGGCAAACATCTGGGGAAGCCCCTCAGAAGTGCCTGTACGGGTGTACACAGATGACACCTTACAGACGTCAGTCAGCCTGAACCTGCTTGGGACATTGTTCAGTTGGGTGATCTGTGACATGGGACAGGCAGAAAATGATGACATCTTGAATGGGGAAACCCTACACATACCTTTCCTGCATTCCAGACTCATGTCATGGTTGCTCTTGTCCTTACATTTATAGAGGAGGGGACAGCATATATCTCATTTACCTGGGAGCAGAAGTCAGTTCCAAAGTGGCCTGTTAAGGGGGCATGGACACATTTTCTAGGAAACACACAAAGGAGGCTCCTAAGGACTGTCCTATGTGTGATCCCTGCAGACCGGCAAGGTGATTTGGAGGTTTACCTACTAGTCAAGCCCACGTGTAACATCTGAGTGTAAATACTTAGCTGTGTGTTACTGAGATCTGTATTAAGGTACACGGACACTCCCACTCCTCTTTGAACTCAGGTGACAGTAGACTCCAGGGATGTCTGCAGGTGTCCTGATTGTCCACCATAGGATGGTTAAGAAATAATGTAAGCCCCAAGTGAAACCCAGACCCAGAGGTCAAAGCCTTCTTACTAAACTGCACTGCCCAAGGATACACACAAAGATGAATGTGTTTGCCTGTTCCAATCTCCTCCTTAAGATCTGTGGGGTTGAGACAGTCAATCCTCATGAATTCTGTCGTCTCGCCTACTCTGAGAATGAAGTGGGCAGACAGCTAAGGCTAAAGAAATGAAGAGGGCTTTATTTGGACAGTATTAATAATTCAAATGGGAAAATAGAAGGTCACCATGTGGGAGCATCAAGCTGAGTATAACCGGAGACCCTTTGAACTCGTGGTACTAGAAGGACTCCGACCAAAGGTTGCCAGTAAATGCCACAGCTCTGTGCTCTCAGGAGCTCTGTGTTCTCAGGATGTTACGAGAGCAGTGCCCTGAAAAATAAATCTTCAGAAGGTGTGTTAGTCAGGCTTCTCTAGAGGAACAGACTTAGAGAAAGAATATATATTCATATATGAAGAAATTTATTAGAATAGCTTATAGGCTGTGGTTCAGCTAGCTCAACAATGGTTGTCTATCAATGAACGTTCCAAGAATCCAGTAGCTTCTTGGTCCATGAGGATGGATGCCTCCGCTGGTCTTCATCATACACTAGAATCCTGAAGATGTAGGCTCTAATGCCATTGAAGGAATGGACTTCCTAGCGAGAGTGAGGGCAAACAGGCAAAGAGAGAGTGAGCTTCCTCCTTCCATGCCCCTCTGTAGACTTCCAGCAGAAGGTGTGGCCCAGATTAAAGGTGGATCTCCCCACCTCAAAGATCCAGATTAGAAGTGAGTCTTCCCAAAGCTGGAGGAAGCTCACAGACTCTAGACCTGCAGCTAGGGGCCCTGCATGGGACCCACCTAGGCCCTCTGTATGTGGGTCACAGTGGTGTAGGCTGCTCTGTTTGTGGGGCCCCTAGCAGTGGGACCAAGATCTGTCCCTGGTGCATGATCTGACTTTTTGGAACCTATTCCCTACGGTGGGATGCCTCCTTCAGCCTTGATTCTCGGGGGAAGAGCTTGGGCCTGCTTCAGCTTGTAACCCCATGCTTTGCTGACTCCCACGGGAGGCCCTTTCTGAGGAGTGAATGGGGGGAGGGGTTAGAAAGGAGATTGGGGGAAGGAATGGGAAGAGAGGAGGGAGGAGAAACTGTGGTTGGTATGTAAAAATAAATTTAAAAACTTAATTAAAAAAGAAGTGGGTCTTACCATTTCAAAAGATTTAATTAAGAAAAGTACCTCACAGGTGTGCCCAGCCATTTGGGTTTTAATTAGTTCCAGATGTAGTCAAGTTGACGACCAAGAATGACCAGCACTGAAGACACACGGTTGAAGGCAGGGGCAGAAGGAAAGAGGCCTGAGAGGCTGAGGCAAGAGTGAGCTCCCCTGCTGGTAGCGCAGGCATTGCAGGAGTGTGTAGGAGGTGTCGTCTGTTCTTCCTTCCCCAAGGAGTTGTCCAACGAATTTGACAATACAGAGGTCAAACATCTAGATATATAGACCTAGGCAGACTCTGATCAACAGGTATGCAAATGAGGTGAAAACTAAGAACCAATCAAGGGAAGGCCTGTTAGCCGAGCAAGCACAGCCCACCAAAAGGGTTTTCAACCAAGCCAGTGGCTCCATTTCTTTTTTAGACATTGTTGTCCTAGGGAAGCAGGCACTCTGGGGTCAGAAGGGCACAGCAGAACAATTTTGTGGAGTTTTCAGTCCTGGACTCTACTGCTGAGGAATCTCAGGCCTGTTTAAGGCCAGAGTCTTTGCTTCCCTCCCTGGCAAAAGCAGCTGGCTACCGCTGCTCCAACCATCAAGCACACAGGGGTCCTCGCCCTATGAGTGTGAGACTGATGGGGGACATTTCAATTCACACAAAATTCCCTGTTTCAGGGGGATTTTCCATTTGAGTGTGGCTATCACAGGTGATTCTCACTTTAAACACAGGCTCCTCACAAACGTGTAAAGGTTTGACCTTCTCCATAAGCTCAGCGGTGACGCAGCTTAGACCAGCAGTTCCCAACCTGTGGGTGGAGACCCCTTGAGGGTCCCAGGATCAGACATTTATTTTTGATTCATAACTGTAGCAAAATGACAGTTGTGACGTAGCAATGAAAGTAATTTTATGGTTGGGGGTCCCCACAACATGAGGAGCTGTGTTAAAGGGTCACCGCTTTAGAAAGGTTGAGAACCATGGGCTTAGAGAAGCCACCAGTTTGTAGCAACTTGTCCGTTCCTTCTCTGGTAAACACCTGGTTGCCGAGTGGTGGGAGTGTATGATATGTGTCATGGTGACTGTTCTCTG